TGCTGCTCAAAATTCAAATTCCAAGGTGAGAGCCTAAAACTGGCTTTGCTTATGCCATCTTCTTCTCACTTGGCTAGAGGTGTATAGGATATCTAATACTGTCCCATTGGACTGTACTTAATGGGAGGTTGATATTTCCCTAGGATATAGGTTTAGGAAGAGGAAATGGATGCATAAAAGCCAAACCACATGCAAATAAATCATTTGATCCAGATTTTTAGAAAATTATATTAGCTAATTTATCTACTACACATTTAAGACAGGCAGTGTGTGACTTGGCTTTTATTCCTCCCTGTCTCTTTTAACCACATTTTCTATTTTTGTTCTATATTTTCTCCCTCTTTTCTGACCCTTAATTTTTACTCTGTCTTAAATTAGTGTCCCTTTCCTGAGAAAGGTTCAGAGGCCAGCAAACTAAGCACATATGTTTATCTCCCTTCTTTCCCAACATCCTGGTGAAATAAAAATGTGTAAGTACCAAAAACAAACAAACAAATCAATAATAGTGATAAAAAGAGAGTAGGAGTTGTCAATGGATGAGAGATTTTAAAATGAAGATGCAAAGTGGAAGGAGCAGGGTGAAGGATGAAACAGGTAGAGAAAGCCACAGCTCGGAAGCAGTTAAGGACAGTCTTTCAATGTAAAGCCTGGAGTCACTCCTCAGCACTGCAGGTAAAGAAGAACGATGGAATGAGATGGGGGCCTAAAAATAAAGGAAAAAAATAGGTCCGAACATGATATAATCTAACGCCCTTGCCCCTAGGCAGAGAGCAGGAAGGAATACATTAAACCATAGCTCTTTTATAAAGACTTTAAATAACTCTTTTATAAAGACTTTAAATGAACTCTGAGGGGAAAGTTCAGGCTCCAGGTGTACATGTTGGAAGCTCAGGGTTGACTCCTTATTCTGGAATAGAAGGCACAGTCTGATAGCTGGTTCCTTACACTCTCACCCTGAAGGAAACTCAAGGAGACATGACTTGCCCACCTCTTCCAGAGCTATGAAAATTGTCGCTCAAGGAGGAAACTTGGAGAAGAACAGTCCTATCCAGACAATAGAGCAAACTCGCACCAGAGATCCAGTCCTTTCTTATATGTGAATTGACATCTGTACCCTTGATGCAGATTGCCCCCAATATCTCCTCTTTCTTATTTTCCATAGTTATAGGATCTTGATTTTTAGCAAGTCATATGGCCACTCAAAATAAAGGTAATATTTTCCAGCTGCCCTTGAAGCTAAAGGTGGTAATGTGATGAAGTTCTTTCCAGTGAGATGTAGCAAGAAATGATGTGTTTATCTTCTTGGAAAGAGTACGCTATTATTCCCCTGTGCATTCTTTCTTTGGATAAAATGCAGATGTAACACTTGGAAAGCAGCCACGTTGGCAATGAGTGATCTTGGAGTGATCTTGGAATCTTGGAAATGGAATCCATAGACAGTGGAACTACAAAACAAAAGGAACTGGGAAGCTGACAGCACGGAGTGCCATTGCAATGCTGTATTATTTTTTCTGTTACTGGCAGTTGAACCTCATGCTAATTAATATAACAACCAAGGACAATAGCTACATAAAAGAGAAATATCAACATTAACAAAAGAAAAGATTTTCCTGGAGGAAAAAATAATTTAGAGAAAAAAGAAACTTAAATAAAACTAATTTCTATATTCAGACATACTTCAGAAGATATTGCATCTAAAAAAGAAGAAAAAGAGGGGCCAGCCCTGTGGCTGAGTAGTTAAGTTCGCAGGCTCCACTTTGGCGGCCCAGGGTTTCGCTGGTTCGGATCCTGGGTGCGGACATGGCACCACTCATCAAGCCATGCTGAGGCGGCATCCCACATGCCACAAGTAGAAGGACCTAGAGCTAGAATATACAACTGTGTACTGGGGGGCTTTGGGGAGAAAGGAAGAAAAAAACAACAAAGATTCGCAACAGATGTTAGCTCAGGTGCCAATCTTTAAAAAAAAAAAAAAGAAAAAGACTCTATAAAAAAGGAGAAATCAAAACACAAGAGCTAGCAAAGACTAAAAAATACGATTCCTCCCCCCACCCACAAAACAATCAATAAAATACTGGAAAATAATATTGTCAAAAATGTCCAAATTTTAGAACAAAAGGCAAAGAGAATTTAAAAAAGATCAGAGATAAAACATATAAATCTGGGTCTGTATTCAGCAAATAAGAACCATAGAAAAAGATAGCAAAAAATGAGAAAAAAAATTATTTTCAAAATGGTAGAAGACAATTATCTAAATCTGAGGAAGGATGTGAGTACTCAGCTGACAAGTTCTACCTAGAAAATCCCATGAGATATTAGATCAAAAAGGATAAAGAAAATATCCTTAAAAAAATGCCTGAGTTGAGGGAAAAAAACAGGTCTTGGATATTCATTATGACCATTCATAGTTACTAGACTCAAATATCAGAACCAAATATTGGTTCTTCTATTAGGCACCGGTAAGATCGAAGTTACCTGCTCTCTTAAAATTGGGTATGGCCATGTGACTTGTGGTCAATGAAATGTGAGAGGAAATGATGACTATAATTCTGGATGAAGCCTTTAAAAGCTAATGTGAAATTTACTCTTATTATCTCCTCTCTGCCACAGACCAGCAATGCTCCCGGTGGTAGTGATCCTCTCAGCGTGATTCTGCTGTGAAGACAGTATAGATCAAAACCCAAGGCTGACCTGGGATGGTTACATATTGTAATCGAGAGATAGACTTTGTTGTTTCAGGCCACTGAGATTTGGGGTTGTCACTGCAGACACAGATCTTATTATAAGGTATGAAAATAAAATGGCACTAGACTTATCATCATTAACACTGGATACTCAAAAAAAAAAAAAGAATGAAATATCTTCTAAATTCTGAGGGAATGATTGTTGACTTAGAAAGTCTTACCCTGCCAAATGACCATACATTGTTCGATATGAAAGAACGCAAAAAAATTTACCTCATATGTTCTTTGGGGATGTGTTCAGTGAAATAAGAATGATTCAGAATAATTTTCATCTTGAAGGTGATGATTGAGATACTAAATGAACGTTAAGAACAATTGTGGGGAGTAGTTAAGAGGTACTGACGCCCACTAGAGGATTGTCATTCACTTCTTTGGGAGCTGACATTACCTAAAAACCTTTCTCCGGAGCAGAGATGAGAAGAGAGCACTCGATCTTATTAGGTCAGTAATAGCCGTCAAACTATTATTGCATCGCTTCCCTTCCCTCACCAGTTCTAGGTGGGAAAGAGAGCGCAAGTAAGGAGAAGAATTCTACAGAAGAATCAGTTTGAGGAACCTCTATCCATTCTGTCATTTGTTCAATTAATTCAAAACATATTTTGAACACATACTATATACTAACCCCTATATTATTCTAGAAAATTTGGAGAAACATAAAACAGTCTCTGTTTTCTAAGTGCTCACAATCTTTCAGGAGAGATTTACTCACATAAACCAGGCACCATGCAAAGTGATACTCATATAATAAAAGTAAGTCTAAGAGGAAGGAGTAGAGAGAGGGAGAGATTAATTCTATGTGGTGAATTCTGTGTGTGTTTTCTAGAGTCCTTGAAGTTTTCACAAGGGCCTGAGTCTCTAGATAAAGTTACACCCGAAGCTGGCATCCTTTGGTTCAGAAAACAATCAGTTTCCACTTTTGCTTATGCCAGTTTGAGTCAGCTTTTCTGTCTCTTGCAAAGAAAGTTCTCTAACTGAATTCCCTAGCTCTAAGAAATCTTATGCTAAGCAGAGGAGAAAGAAAATTAGTCAAAGAACTGCCCGTGAAAAAGCGACATGCAGGAGGAATAAGTCTGAAGAGGCAGGAAGGATCTGGCTAGAAAGCCAGGCTAGGAGAGCCTCATGTGAGAAAGAAAGTGCATGGAATTCACAAACCTCTAAGCAGAAGAGGCAGCAAGGACTGAAACAGAATTCACACAGGTCACAGTAGAGTTGTGTTAAGGTGATGCTGAAAATGGGGTGACAAGTTCATGAGAATAGAATGGGCATTCCTGATGTGGGAGATCCAGTTGGAGCCCTGTCACAGGTAGTCACAGTGATCAATTGAATGTATAATGTAAATTTGCATGGTGGAAATAATTTAGTAATTTGCTGTAGCAAATTAGATGTTGGAGTGAAAGTGTGGTTACGGTTGTTATTCTTGTACTCCAAATAGAATCGATTTATGGTTAATAGAAGGACTCATGTGAGCAATATTGCTGGCTCACTCTCCTACAGTATGTGACAGTAGGCAGTGAATAAAAGTCTTGCTTTCCATCACATTTATATTTGATAAGTAATAAGCAACAAGCCTTCTTGCTCTCTATATGTGTGAAAGAACAGCAAAGAAACTCACTTCCTTACGCTTACATGTGAGAGAAGGGATGGAATGATGGGCTGAGATTAACAGGCTGACATTAGGTAGGTGTGAACATAAAATACTAAGCGTTAGGTAAAATTTTAAAAGTATGTATATATAAATACAGGACGCAAGGAGATTCTATGAAAGAGACCTTGAATTTTTAGCTCATCACAACTCAAAATTGGATTATCTTTCTGGAGACAGGGGTAGGTGTTTTTGCGGGGCAGGGAAAAGATGGTTCCAACTGCAACAGAGGCTGAGGAAGAGGGGAATGAATGACTTATTTAGTGGCATCAGATCATGCGGGTCACGAATGACAAGCCGATCGTTTTTCTATCAATCTTGTGGACAAGAGGGAAATATTGTAAAATACAGAGAATGCAAAGCTATGAAGGAGATGATCCAGGGCGGCAAATTCGAGGCCCTTCTATTAAGTGAACTAGTAACGTCTGAAAGCGGTCTGAGAACTGCCTTGCTTGAAAAGCCTGCTGGGTCTATAGGCCCCGCACAGCCCTCAATAGACTCCGCCCCCCAGGCTCCGCCCCCGTGTCCGAGAAATCTGGATGCTGCCCCAATCCTGAGCCTGTGATTAGCCTAGCCCCGCCCCTGCCCACCCCGCCCCGTCCCCTCTGTATCCCTGGAGACGCTCTCGCGTCCCCTCTCGGAGCACTGGCTGTGCCAGGTCTTACACCCACCGTGGGAAGAGGGGGCAGCGCCGGCGCCCAGCACCTGCCACTGGTGGGGGACACACTTTGGAGGAACAAAAAGCTAGAGTTGTTCCCCAGAACCAGTCCACCGAGGTTCTTAACAGCTGAGGTGAGGCTCGCGGTAGGACTTGAACGGCTCCTAGAAGAGGCGGGCTGTTCTTCCAGGCTGTCCCTTCCCTGACCCCGACAGACTTTCCTCCGTGAGTCTGTGGACTCTGTCTTAAGCTTCCTGAGCCTGAGCCGAGATCCTTGCCGTTTCCCTCAAGAAATGAGTAGAAGTAGGAGCAGGGTTAAGACGTTCTTCTCGCTCCCCAGTCACCTGATCCTCTGAGAACAGTGGAAAAATAAACAGGCGTAGGAATAAATTATTAATTCCGTTCAGAACTAGGTGGGGGCAGAGAGGGAACTGAGATGCCCTCGGTTTGGGTAAAGATAACTGCGTCTCTCGTAAGTTAGATCAAATTGTTATCCCTAATGTCACATTTGTATTGGAATATATCAATAAGTATACATATTTCAGATGTATGGGAATTAACGATTAGTTTCTGCCATAGAGTCTATACTTTGGGATTTAAAAAAAGTTCATCTAAACACAACGCAAGTGTTTAGTATTTGTTGTATGAAGAATCTTATCTTATGATTTGGGCGGGGGGAAGGAGTTATTTACTAATTTTTAACTTTTTTTCTTCCGTCCTTTGCTATTAATCTTTGCTTCCTGATCTTCAAACTGAAGTCTGCAAGCCTGGAGAGAGCTTCAGCAGTAATCTCCAAATGTAAGTCAAGGGAAACATGGCCTGCCTTCAAACACTTGTCCTACTTTAGATTTTGATTTAACCACCAATAAATTTCAGTTGATAGGAAATGTATGATTTCTATTTATTTTATTTAACAACTATTTAATTATATACCATGGAGTGCTAGAAGGGTCCAAAAATTATGATACAAGGCATAAATATTTAGTGACTCTTTAAACATCTTCATGTGAATTTTTCTTTTTTTTGCTCTTTTCAGGAGCACAGTTATTGATATTTCTTCTGTAGTTTTCTTTGACCGTCCATAGGAAAAGAGTTTGTAGTAATAATATTAAAAGTTCTAATTCTTGTAAATGATTTTCTTGGCCATAAAAAAAATCATATTTACTTTGAACTCTCTTGACACATAATAAATTTGCTTGCTGTGGTTTGTTGGCTTTATTTCACACATCTCAGCTTTTACCCCAAAGTGGCTGAATTCTGGAGACAGTGGTCAGCCTCAGACAGAATCACTCCCCAAGTAACCTCTGTCTACACAGTGCTAGGCCTTCCCTTCCTTTGTGTTTCCTGATGAGGGTATCTCTGGGGATAGCGGGCAAGAGGGTTACTCTTTGAAGAATTTTACTTGGGGGCCAGAAATTTCAGCTCACGCCGTGGGACACATTCAGCCTTACCCAGCACTCTCAAACCTTTCATCCTGTATTTCTCCACTCTCATTTGTCTTCTCAAGTGGAGGCCAAACTTAGAGACTGTAAGTGTGATACGAGAGCCGACCAGCAGATCAAAGAATCCGCCAAATGTCTTCTGAACACCAGCAGTGGAATGGCTTCAGGCAGCCTTTTGATCTTTGTCTCAGCACCTGTGGTGCTACATGAAGCACCGCCCACTTGCTGGCACTGGGGGAGCCGCCTCTGGGTCCTCCTAACAGACTGCTTCACCCTTAGCTCCTGGGGCGAAGCTCGTTTGGGTACCAGCCAGAGAGGTACCTCTCATTCTCCTCCTCCCTTACTCACCTGAATCTGAACCATCCCCCCCTCTGCAGTGGTACCCACCTTGTGTGGTCTCCTCTGTGGTCTTGAGATAGGAGAACCCTGAGGCAGTGCCATCGGTAAGGACGTGTCCCATTTCTGCTTCAGGCCTAGGTGAGTCACTCCGCAGCACTAGTCCCATTCCTCATGGTCAGAGCTCACCTAGGAGCTGGGAACACTGTCAATCCAACACCAGGAAAATGATACAACTAATTTAACAAAGAGCAAAAGGCTTTCTTCACTCGATAGGTATAATTTAACTCTGAAACGACAGGATTCTAAGCATGCTTGCGCTTTTTCTCACTTATTTTCCCCTTCGCTGCTTTTATATGCTGGAATACAGCTACTTGGCTGCTTTAAGAATATGTAACATAAATAAGACTAAACTTATAAAACATGAAAAAGATGGTGATTCCTTAGATAAGAGAATAATTTGTTACAGGATCCCTTTAAATATTTGATGCAGTTCAAATATTATATGTGTAAAATTTCAGTACACACTGTATCTATTGTGTAAAGCAAAATACCCTTATGTGAAAAACAAATTCCCCTTTCCCAGCAGGCACAGGCAAAGTAAGATAGGGGTTTATAACAGGGAGGGAGCCCTGCTCAACTTCCCCCCAACTTTGACCTTAAACTTTCCCAAACAGATTAGTCGAGGGATATTATTTCCAACATGCAGTTAATAACTTTTCTTCCACTTTATCATTCAGCTCTGACCACCCCCCATTCAGAGTTTGTGCCTTAAGGCTTGCCAGCAGGGCTTGCAATACTTACATTAAACTAAATTTAAGAGTAAAGGTGCTCCTGCTGCTAATGTTCTCAGATCAGAGGAGAGCAAAATGAAGGAACTGGCAGCTGAAACTTTAATGGTAGGAAACGTTAACTCAGATTTTGAAAAAAAAAAAAAGAAAAAGAAAAATCACAGTTGATCTGTGTGACAAAGAAGACATGTTCCTCTCCATGTATAACATTGCGTTTGATTTCATTCAATGCTTATATTTTCTAGCAGAAATCATCTAACCCAAGTAAACATCAAAAAGGATGAATTTTATATCATGTACTGGAAGCCCAACTTTTGAGAGGGCTTATGCCTATCTTGATGGGATATATTGGCTGGATCAGAGCTTCTGGGGCCTGGTCCCTCTGTCCGTCTACAAGTAGCTGGGTCTTCCTAGTATTTGGTAAAATTACCAGTAGCTTTTCCTCATTTTGAAGCTCCAGGGTGAACCCTTCAAAGGCCCCTGCAAGAATGCAGAGACCACCCCTGCCTCAATGCTCTTGGTAAGCAAACGGGGCTCTCAGAACAGAGTCTTAATTCATAGAGGATGGAATGTCCCAGCTGAAGCAAATACAGTCATTGCTTTCTTCTCTCCCTTTCGAAATCTGCTAGGGGTAAACAGATCAGGGTTAAGAACTGAGATGGCCCAGATTTGCTCTGTAGCATCAGAGGACTCTGGAACATAGCCTCTTCACAGCTTCTCTGAAATAGGCTCATGGGAATTGGGTCTGGGGAGTTTTGGTGTCTCTTCAAACCCGTACATGAGGTCTAACCCTATGTTCATCATGACTTCTCACTACATGTTCTGCATAATGTTGCCATTTAGTCAGTTCTGGTTATCCCAATAACTAGTGAATATAACATCTGATCAGAAAAATAGATTTTTTGAAGTTACAGAAGAAGTCACTAGATTATGAAGTTATGAAGTATAATACAATATGTTTCTCATGTTTGTTCTAGAGGAGAGGACTAACATTTGCTGTTTAGACTGTGTACTTTAAAGCTATAACTGTATAAAAATAAGTGGACATTATGTTTCATGGATCATATCATGCCCTGATAATCTGGGTAATATTAGGATTCTATTATATCTGAAACAAGACACTGATCTGCATTAGAATTTTTGGCATTAATTATGTGAAAAATTATTTTCAGGCTAGGGTAATAATTTTTTTTTCAAAACACAAGACTATCTATTTCTACACTGAATTTCAAAAGATTTTCCCTCAAGTCTTATTGCTCTCCTCCTCCCGCCACCCCCTACCATGGCTTTGCGGCAGTAGAGAAATATTGTATCTCAGCCACCTACAGGAGGCTCTACCTCAGGTGAGACCATGTCTCCCCACCTCCACTTCTGCCTCCTAAACCACCATCCTCTTTCACCCAGAACTCACAGCAAGCTCCCAGCTGGTCTCTCTGCTCTCTGCCCTTCTTCCCTGTACAGTCTAAATTCAAAAGAGAAGCCAGAGGGATCCTTTCAAGGTGGAAGTCAGATCACGTCCCTCCTCTGCTCAAAATCCTCCAATGGATTCTTAGCTCAATCAGAGTAAAACTCACGATTTTTATAGTAGCCTTCAAGACCCTATACCATCAGAACACCAAATTTCTTCTTAACTTCTTTGACTTCCTCTCCTTCTGCTCTTATTTATCCCTTGGCTACTGGTGAGCATTTGGGTACTTTCTAGTTCATTGCTTTATTTTTTGCTATAGATCTTATCTGGTGTTTTATGTACTTTATTTATGTATCATCTGTTTTTCCCCTACATCCACCCCCTATAATGTGAATTCCTGAGGTCAGAGATTTTTGTTCACTGCTGTTATCTTCAGCACCTACAATAGTACCTGACACCAAATAGAAGCTCGATAAATATCTGTGGAATATATTCAAGGCCTAGATTGATAGTCATTTACTCTAGGAGACACAGGTAGTGAATGCAAGACAAGTGATTCAAAACTGAAAACAAGCCTTCCAGTTGCTTAGTGGAGCTAAGTGTAGATAGAGGTCAAAACTGGTGGAAATAGTGGTGGGGAATCACTGGGCTTTTGGATGCTTCTCTCTTTAACAGTAGAAGCATGGGTTATTTTGCATCTGAAAACCCTTGCAACATGTGACAATTTTTCTATTCTAAATCCACAGACATATTTCCACATTTCTTCCTCTTCAGGGTAAGGTTTATATAACTTGATTTTATAGACCCACCTTTATTCTTGCTCACTTACCTTCTCCACTGTGGCATATTGCAATTCCCAAAGATGGCTGCAACACTATCTCCCATCTCATGTTCTTTTCTTTCAATGTGACTTTGATGCTCTCTCATCAATAGGTGGGTCTGTGTTCACTAGTCTTGAACCTAGGAGGGCTCATTACAGTGGAAGTGATGCTATGTGACTTCCAAGGACAGGCCTTAAAAGGAGATACAGCTTCCACTTGGCTTTTCTTTGGGATACTTGCCTTTGGAGCCCGGAGCTGCCATATCAGAAGTCTACAGCTGCCATGCTGTGAAAAAGCGCAAGCCATATGAGGAGGCCATATGTATGTATTCTGGCAGACATACCCAGTTGAGGTCCCAGCTAATAGTTAGCATCAACCACCAGATATATGAGTGAAGACAGATGATTCCTGCTTCCTACCATTGAGCTACCCCTAACCTTCTGAGTCTTCCCAGCAGAGGCCCCAGTCATTGTGGAGTAGAGAAAAGCCATTCCCACAGTGCCCTGTCCTAATTGCTGACCGGCAAAAAGTGTGAAAGAAAATAAAATGATTTTTGTTTTAAACAATCTTTTTTAACCCACTATATTTTGAAGTGATTTGTTACACTCTTGTAGCTGTGTGTCCCTCAGGATAGCTCTCTCCTTGCTGAGAGTCATTCTTAGCATCTATCACTTCTAAGGGAAAGCCTTTATTTGTGAGTGATAAAGTTTTTAGAAAATAGCAAAGTATGAGCAATTTTCAGTTATTGACTGTAACAGGAAAGCAAAGCAGGAAAATCTGAAATCCACAGCTGTCCTAAAAATCTTCACCCTTTAATTGCAACCATGTTACTTAACAAAACTCATACCAAAGCTCCTGACTGAATCTTCAACTCATTTATCAGATTTTCTCCTTGTGTACTTCATAATGGAGATGAAGGTAAGTCATAAATTGGCCAAAAGGCAGATTGTGGAAGAAAATAATGAGAGAAGCAACCTGCAGAATCCACTCACTGAGTATCATTCCTGAATAAAGAGCTATAGTTCTGTTCACAGAGGCATTCTCAGCTCAGATGACAGACTGGATCTCTAATAATGTCTTAAAGGATTCTTTGGAAGATTTATCCTTTAAAATACCATTTCGTTTTCTTTTTATAGTTCAGAATGACCACCCTGCCCCCACTGCCCATGACACGCCCAAAGCTTACATCCTTAGCTAGACAGAAGCTGCCTTGCTCCCCCACAACAGCTCCAAGGTACGTGGCCCTGGTTTTTATTTCTTCTCCTACGGAATGAATTTCTTGCAGTAAGAAAAGTCAATATCATATTTCAAAAACAAAATTGTTTAAAGACAAAAGTATTTGTTATATTCAAAATATTCAAATTTACTGTTTCAAAAGGATTGATGAACTTCATTCAAATATTCAGAATATATTTAATTAGCAAGCTAGTGCTCATATGATCATTTTATTTCCTATTCCAATTATATCATGGTTCCTATAAAACTTCGGAGATATATTTCATTTTTAAAATGTGTGTGGAGAATAGAAAGCAGATGCTTTAGGAGTGAAAAGTGTATGGCTTATAATCCACAAGGCTGTGAGTGCTGATTTCTGTTTTGGGGGAAAGAGGACACAGTCTAACTAACAGGGTAGGCTGGCAGGCACGATTTAGCTCTTAAAATGATCCTGGAGCCTGAAAGCGCATCATCAAACTGCTGTTGCCCGTGAACGGCTGCCGAGCTCCTGGAGTTATAGCCGAGAAATGCCAGGACAGAGAACGCAATGTGTTTTGTCATGATTATGAATATTAACTGAGATTGTGTTATTTAGACATTGCCATTTATAGCTGTATTGGTTTCTAGTAATGCACATATTATTTATCAATATAAATAATTTACATATGTAGGTTTGATTATTTTTCTTATGTGCATTCCTTTCAATTCCTGCAAGGCATAATGATCAAAGCATTATGAGACTACTTTGTTCTGAGAAGGATCATACCTCATTTTCAGTATTTCTGGGAAAAACCAAAGCCCCTGGACCAAAATAAATACATTCGGCTATACTAACATAAAAATTCTTTTATAATAGCAAATCAAATTTTCTTTTAAAAATTTTTGAAAATCAGAAATTCTTCAGTGATGCATAATTTCAGTATATAATACACATATTTACTTATTGGGCTATAACTGACATAACATTATATTACCAGTATATATATATATTATTTTCCATTTTACTTTTAAATAATGTGAAATATTAACAAAGTCTGAAAAAGTTTATTCTTTCTGTCTTTTTTAATGATTGAGACTACATTTTCTTTTCAACATGAGCAGAAACATAGCCCAATCTCGCATCCCTAAAATAAGAGGTATTTTAAAGAATATTATTCTTGCACTCATTTTGTTGAAGAAAAATATTTTTATTGTACCCATTTAAAGCAAAGTTTTGTATCAACCTTCTCCATTAGCTTCTGAGTAAAATCAGATATTTGCTTAGTCCCATACTCCTATGGTTGTAAGATGTTAATAGTAAGCTTATTTTTAAAGCTGCAAGGGGTGTGAAGAATGAATGCACTAAACATGTAACATATTTCTCAGTAAAGTCCTCTTAAAATCACTTTGCACCTTGAACTTTTAATAACAATTTGAATTTTATGTGTGACAAAAAAAACCCCACTCACACAGCATTTCAGAGCAAAATTTGCTGGTGTTTAGAACAGATAAATTTTACACATATGTATCAAATACATATTCTTAGTTCAGGATTCTGTGCCAAGAGAATATCACTTCTATAGTTGGCAAATTATTCTGTGAAACAATGTGAGTAACATGGAAGATCTTAAAAGCTTTGAGGAGAAAACTCCACTTATTTAAGGATGCAGATTATGTTAACGTGTTTGTCTTTTATTTGTTTACACATTGGGTTTAATCTTCTTCCCTGTCTTTTTCCATTCAAGAAAATTCAAAATTTGAAATTATCAATCAACAACCTAACTCTATAGCTATTGTAGAACGTTTATTATATATGGTATTATTCCTGAATATTGCTGTTCTCCTGGTGGCATTTTATATATTTGGTAGCTTTTCAACTTGATAAGGCAGTGTTTTATTATTTCTTTCCATTTCATTTAGGTCTCAATTGATCAAAGAAAAAAATGACATAGATCATTATCTGGAAGAGAATTTCAAAGGATTGTCAAAAGAGGAGGTTGCTGCGTAAGTATAACCTCTTAAAGATACTTTAATATAAAGTTTGTTTCTTTTGTCTTAATTCTTTATTGAAATTTCAATTTTCCTGTGCAGTACACTTTTTCATTGGAACATGGCATTTAAAAATTAAAGCTCATATTAAATAGTGATAAGTCATATCTATTGATCTTACACATATCAAAGTCTTTAATTTTATGGCTTTCAAAATTCTCATATTTACCAAGATATTATATTATCACATTTGCAATATTTTAGTTAAACCTGTGCCATTAATTGCTTAATAACCTCCATTTTAAGGTATGTTGCCTCCATGGGGGAGAAAAAAGCTTTAAGAGAAAGATGCATATTTCATTTTTTCTTGTGATTTAAAAAAAAATCCTTTAATAATGTATCTTCTCCCGCCGCCCCACCAAGAACCCACAAAAAGATTGAACAGATCATAGTTTATTGGTTAATTTTAAAATAATTCTAATTGTCTGGATTTATTTTTTAAATGAACAATGTAAACTTTGCCATTTTCCACTAGTTATAACCTAATTGATGGTAAGCGTAAAAACAGTATAAAAGTCCATGAAGGTTAGTAAGAAATGAATGGAAACCTAGAATAATAGCTAAACAGGCTTAATATTTCCTACCTACACGCTTAGTGACTCTGTTAGAACTTTAGATGTAAGCATTGAAAAGCGAAAATCTTATAAATGCACATGCATCTTATGGAATTCATTAAATGATTCAATTAAAATATTTTATACAGCAAATGCTTTTAAGACATTCTATTAGTTTTGTTTAGTGCTATGGTATACCAGTGAAAGAGTATTCCTGATATTTTTGGTATAGGTTTTCATATAGTCTAAAATTCTAAGTCTCTTGGTATATTTCATTTTATCAGATATTATCTTTGTCAGTTTCCATACGACATGGAAAAATGGAATAGTTCCTTCTGTCAGTAGCTACTTTATTTTATAGAGTGACAAAATTTTACAGTAACTGTCTTCCTTGGAGCTTTATTGACTGCTGCGTGTAGTATCTGGGGTCTTTGGTTAAATGCTGTTCTGGTTGTTAATTCATTAACTTTCCATGGTGACCTCTTGGATAAAATTAAAGGTCAATATTGTCTGATGATACAATTACTTCTTAAAAGAAAAATATGTATGAGCAATATTTGCATTCTGATTTAAATATAATGACATCAAATATCTGTAATTGGCTTAAGAATTATTAAATTTGGAATTTAACTAATGTCTCACATAATTTTACAAGCTCAAAAATCTGTATACTTAAAATCTTCTAAGCTTTCAGTCTGGAGTGAAGAAAACTTTGATTTAAGACAATGCAAAATAAGCTATGCCAATAAGTGTTCTCTTAATAATGTTATCTTTTTCACTAAGGGTATTACCAAATGGATTTCAAATCCATGTTATGCTACAGAAAACAAGTAGCGCTGGATAATTCTCAAGCCTTGCTATTGTGTTCTTCTTAAAGCTTCTTTCATTTGAATATTTTTTTCAACTAAAGCTCTTTCCCTGAGATAGTGGATGCAAACCTTAGTGGGAAGATAGCTTGTACTTATCTCACAAATCTGCTTTTGATTGATATACATTCTAGACCTTGCCCCCCAAAAACTAATTGAATAGCATGTAAAGGAGAAAATTGATGAATGATTTCAGCATCCCCCAGCAATACCCAGCAGGTGCCATGAGGAATTATGCATATTCTGTTAGCCAAGGAATTGCTGCATAAAACGTTTTATTAGCCATTCAACTCTAAAAAGATAAATTGGTCAACAAGCATTTGTTAAGTCCTTACTTTATATCTAATGCTAGATTTTTCACAGTGGGAGAGAAAATTATATTTTGTCATAAAATACCTGGCCCCATCTTTGTCTCTATTTGAGACAGTAAGATCTAAGAGCAAGAAACAAATATGGAATGAATGACTGTTGATTGTCCTGTGAGGTGCAGCCTAGAGGTCTAGAGGAAATCAGAGAAGACTAAGGTGGAAGGATGAAACTAGCCAAGGAAGACAAATTTTGAATTTGATTCTCTTTCTGATGACATAAAATGCACAAATTGGTATGCCACAGATCCTCAGTGTACAAGGATGTAATGGGAACAAACTGGTGAATCAAATTTTCAATCAGACAAAAGCAATATGTAAGATATACCCTCAAATCCCTCTCTATCCTCCCTTATTCTTCTCTAGGAGGGTAATAGATATACTTATTTATAGTTGTTATACAACTGATGTACATTAGCTTTGATACCCATAATATGCATGTGCTCTTTTTCTAGTCCCACAATAACAATTCATCATCTACCCCAAAATACACCAACCTACTTGTACGTAAACTCACACTCTATGACTTTCCTCCTATTGCAATGAGTGGAAAGTACCTGTTTTTGTCTAAGGATGATACCCCTACTTGTGTTCTGGATACCACCCCTCTTACTTGTTCCAAGTCTTCCTCTTGCTGTTAAACATGTTTTCCCTCTACGTCATCAATTTCTCCCTTTCCGTTGGATCAACCTCACTAGCATTCATATCTACTCTAGTATTTCCCTTGACTTCGTATTCCCTTCCAAGTTCTACCCCATTTTTCTGTACTCTTCACTGCATTCAGAAGCACTCTCAGTATTTCCACATCCCATTCTTTCCTCAGTTGATTCTAAATAGACTTTCAGCCCCAGGACTCATTGAAATCTGTTTAGGTAACCAATGTCCTCCATCTTTACCACGTCTAATGGTCATGTTTCTGTCCTTGTCTTGCTTGATGTCTTTTCAGCATTTGATAGAGTTGAGCATTCTCTCTTTGAACATTCTGTACTTGTGATTTCCAGGATGCCATGTTCTATTGTTTTCCTCCAAACTCTTTGACTGTGCTACCTCAGTCTCCTTTGCTGGCTGGCTTTCTCTTTTCAAACTCTCAGTGGTAGGTTGTCCTAAGGCTGGGTCTTAGGCTCTCTACTCCAGCTACACTCTCTATCTGGATCCAGTCTTATAGCTTTAAACATTAGTAATAACCTTACAGCTATCAAACTTGTAAATCAGCCCCAACCTCTCCATTGAGCTCCAAATTTTTTATATCCAGCTGCCTCCTTGACGTATTTGCTTTACCTCTACTGCCCCTCACTCCCACCCCCAAAAATATTCCTCCCACAATCTTCCCCCAATTCAGTAGATGGCAACAAGGCAGACTTGAATTTCACCACCCCTCTCCTATCTACTCTATCAGTATTTCCTATCAGATATAACTTCAAAATATATCCTGTGTTCATCAACTTCTCTTCCTTGCACAGCCACTGTCATCTCTTACCAAGACTGCTAGAATAGTCTTCTAACTATTTTTCTAATATTCCCTCTACTCCACCAAAATTCAGCCACCAGAGTGATCTTTTGAAAAAATTAGATCGTGACACTCCCCTACTTAAAACCCTCCAAGAGCTTCCCATTGCTCTTATGATAAACTCTAAACTCTTTATCATGGCCTAAAGCTGTGTGTGGTTTGCACTTTGCTGACTTCTCTGACTTTATCTTCTTTTTTTTTAATGTTTTTTTAATATTTTTTTAATTGCAGTAACATTGAATTATAACAATATATAGCTTTCAGATGTAAATTGTAATATATTTTGAATTCTGTGTAGATCACATTATGTTCACCACCCAAAAACTAATTATAGTCCATCCCCTCACATGTGAGCCTAATTACCCCTTTTGCCCTCCCCCGCCCCGCTTCCCCTATGGTAACCACCTGTTCTCCCCACCACTCATTCCTCTCAGTGTGGCCTTTATTGCTGACACTCCTTCTTGTCATGCAGGTGTTACCTTGAATGTAACCTCCTCACTCTGCTGTTCCCTGACCTCATCATCTAGTAGCTCTCACCCCACCCACACTCACTCTCAGTCAAATCATCTGGGTCTATTTCTGCTGTAACCTGGCTCCCATCTTTCATTAGGAGTTTGCATGTCAACTGTCTTCATCCCTAGCAGAATGGATGGTCCACGGCAACAGGAATGTGTCTGTAGGTATGCCGCTGTTTCCCCAGAGCCTAAACAGGGTCTGGCTCGTGGTTGGAGCTCAACAACTAGATGTTAAATGAATGAATGAGTGAAAGAATAAATGTAAGATTAACCAAGAAATAGGTATACTGCTATGAATATTCTTTGGTTACAACACTTTTAGTTAAATGTTGTATGTAGCTGGCTTGACCCTTGAATTGAGGAAGTTTAACTCCTCAAAAGTATTTTATGCACATAAGTAGGAGTATAAAATTTAAAAGAATAAATGAGCAGGTTAAGCTAAAGTAGTTTTACTGGAATAGCCAAATCCAATTGATGAGAGTTTATTTTACTTAGAATGGGTAAAATAGTTCAAAGGCAAGAGCTTCTGGGTTTTTTACCATCTACATTTACAGAAGGAATTTCAGTATGCTTCCTTACATTTTAAGTGACTAGATTATCATTGTGCCTAATAGGTACATTTTTTGTACATTGATAATTTGACTTTCTTAGATAAGTCTTCAAATAGTTCCTTGATAGTAGTTAACTAATCTTTAACAACTAAGGAAGGTCATGTGTTTCTGTGCTTTGGATGTTTTTATTCTGTATTATATTATCAGAATGCATTATTGGTCTTAAAAAGGACTTTAAGTGTCACTTATTATCATATCATAATTGCTTTGAGTAGCTAAGTAATAAAAGTGTCATTTATAGATTCAAATAAAAATTTCTGGGGGGCAGTTTTTGCAGCTTTAGCTATGTATATGAGGATACAAATAAACAAAATCGTCAAGGGACAGAGAATGTTCATCTGCTCAATATTATTTTCTGCTTCGGATATCAAGTTCTATTATGTGGAAGAATAGATTTAGTTCAAAACTGAGCTCCTCTGTAAGATACTGCTTTCTTTCAGAATATCTTTCAGCATCATCAGTTGATGTTTACTGAGCATCACTTTGTCAGCACAGTGGCCATTAGAACCATCAGTTACCGTATTCAAGAAGTTTGGG